ACACACACACACTGCAGCTCAGCGCTGTACTCTGGGGACAGACCTGCTGGCTGGTGGCACAGCCAGTATACGGCACCGTGAGGACCAGCTCCCTCCAGGTTTTCCTCCAGCTCACTCCACAGTGAGGGGGCAGCTGGGAGAGGGGGATGGGGGTGGCGCCCCCTGGGGGAGAGAGGGAGACGTTGCTGCCTTCTGCCTGCTGCACCCCCACAGCCGCCCCTCCCCTCGCTCACCGGGCGCCACGGCGATGTCGTCCGCGCGCCGCCCTCTCACGGTCAGCGTCATGCCGTCGGCCCCGCAGTGCACCCTGGGACCCCTGCGCAGCCACGAGCCCGGAGGGGGCCCCGACACCTCGCCCTGCGCCCCGCCTGCAGAGGGGACAGAACACAGGGAGACAGGGGCCACAGCCGCCCCCCGGGAGAGCAGAAGCAGGGCGCATGGGGCTCCTCTCGCCCCGGTGCGGAACATCGAGGGGTGACGTCCCAGGGGGCCCCCTGTCCCGAGACAGACGGCACCGGCGTCCTGGGACCTCAGGGGACGAGCGATTCACACAGGGGAGCGCCTGCTCTACACCAAGGGCGGTGGGAGTGTGGAACAGGTCAAGCACGTGTGCGGGCGACTTCTCTGAAGAGGCTGGAGGATTTTCTCACCTCCTTTAGCTCTTAATCTCCTTCATCACCAAACGAGCTGGACAATATACTATTAATATACTCTTATATATATATACTGTTAATATACAGATCACAAACACCCCCTCTCACAGCACACAGCTCACAGACACCCCCTTCACCCCCACAGAGCCACAGACACCCGGCCCGGTCCCGGTTCGGCACGCACGCGCCCTGACCTAGGCTCGGCTCCCAGTGCGAGTCCGGCGCCGGCTGCCTGCTGCCGGACATCCAGTCCGGGTCCCGGGAGCCCAGCGGCTGGTCCATCAAGACCGAGCCCGGGATGGGAGAGGGACGGCGCCCGGCTTCCAGAATCCGCCCGGGCTCGGTCCCGTGTGCCGGGGCGGGGACGGGTTGCCCGGGCCGGGCCGTCTCCCGCACGGAGTCCACTCGCATCAGCGTGGACGCGTCTCCCCCCGCGTCCAGCCTCTCGCCCACGCCGGGCCAGCGGGAGGCGCGGGCCCCGTACCCCGGGGGGTCCGGGGGCTCGTCGGAGCGGTCGTAGTCGGGGTCCGTTTCCCCGTAGGCCTTCAGGAAGTCGGAACCAGTGAGGCGGCCCCGCACGAGCCCCGTGCAGCTCCACGTGAGCACGATCAGAAAGCCGAGCTCGGCGCGTCTCCACACAGAAAGCATCGCCGCGCACAGCACAGTCCTCCTGCGGGCCTGCGGGCGGCCGCCATATACCCTCGGCCGCCATCGCGGGACTCGCATTCCCACGCGTGTCCGAGCCCGCCCGGCGCGCGGCTCGATGAGGATGACGACACCCGCGGCGCGCGTGGACGGGTCTCGGCCCTTGAGCGCTTTTCAAAGGCCGACAGGTGACACGGAAGAGGAGACTTATTGCCTCTCCCCTCCAGCCCAGAGAGAAGCAGCAGGCAGGACACACGTGGAAACTGACAGGGAGTGAGAGCAGCAGCTCTACTGTACACAGAGAGGGGTTGGAGGGGGGAACGGGCGTTGAAGCCGATAAACTGGCTTCTCTCCAGACACAGCTGGATGAGCTCCTGCAGTGGGGACAGGAGGCTCTACTGTACACAGAGTGGGGTGGGAGGGGGGAACAAGCTGCCCAGCCGATTCCCTGGACGCCCCTCTCTCCCCCCTTCAGCAGGGCTGCGATCTGGGGCTCGTGCAGGGAGCTGTGCAGCAGCCCCTCGGCTCAGGGGGTGAGGACCTGCCC